TATCTTTACACTCCTTAAATGTGAGAGAAACACAGGACTGATAAGATTCACATTCATATACTGTCCAACTGTTGGATTTCTCTGCAGCACTAAACCTTCGGTCTCAGATTTCATTTCATTTCTACCATGTTTCACGCTTATGTTAGAAATTAATGTACAACAGCATGATACAACATCAAGGCAAGGCACAGAATCAAACAATCACTGAGTGGATTTATTAGAAATTACACAATTTAATGGTTCAAACGTGGACTCGGTGACTGTCTAATGCTGCTGTAGGCCTACCATTTAGTTCCAGTGCCTTGGACATACAGTCATCATTTTCCGTCCCTTTTTGTCTCCTACTTAGCCTTGTTTCTCAACACTTCCTTATCTTGTCTCTTCAGTATGAACTCTGTTCTTCTCCCCAGTTAATTCATTTCCCACAGATCAACGTACGTGTGTCACATTCACAGTCGTCCTGTTGACTGGATACATATGATGTTAATTCGACTAAGCAGCTCAAATGTGGCAATTCACTCTAAATGTTTGGACCTTACATGAACATAACCATTTCTAGAGACATATAATGTGTGTGCTGTCAGCCTGGAGTCTATTCTACATCTTACAACTTATTTTGGGCTAAAAGTTACTTCATTTCTGAATGCATGTGAAGTGCACTTTGAGCTCCTATGTCGCATGTACAGCTGGTTCTCAGCATCCTGCACACCTACAGTGCACACCTGCAACCATCAAACAGTTGGATGAAACAGAATTATTCAATCATTGATCATCTCAAAAATTAACATTAGCAACTGTTATTGTTGGTTTTACATTAGAGTAAGTTTAATATGTTTGGCTTTTGGACTGTTGGTTTCACAAACCAGGTAATTTAGTGATGTCACACTGTGCTCTAGAATATTGTTATAGGCATTTTTCACTGTTTTATGGACCTGAATGGGAATAAGAAAATATTGGCCAGCTCAAATCGATAAAAAACAGTTAGTTGCAGCCCTAATACACTGAGACCGAGTCTACTGGACACTTTGATAATTGTATCCACTGAGGCAACATTAGGGTTAACGGCCATTACTGATTAATCTGTTCATCCCTCCATTTTCTATACCTCTTATCCTGAATAGGGTTAAAGGGGGGGGCTGGAGCCAATCCCAGCTGACGTTGTGTGAGAGGTGGGGTCCACCCTGGTCAGGTCACCAGTTCAGGGCTGACACTTAGAGACAGACAAACACACACACCCACATTCACTCCAACGGGCAATTTAGAGTCGCCAGTCAACCTAAGCTGCATGTCTGTGGACTGTGGGAGGAAGCTGGAGTACCTGGAGAGAACCCACACAGGCACAGGGAGGACATGCAAACTTGGCACAGAAAGGCCCTGGCTCAGCCAAAGCTTGAACCCGGAACCTTCTTGCTGTGAGGCAGCAGCGCTAACCACTGTGCAACTATGCCGCCGATTAATCTGTTAATTACTTCTTAATTTAATTGATTAATCATTAGTCTATAAAATGTCAAAATTCAAATGATAGTTTCTAAAATCCAAGGTGACTTAATTTGTCTTGTTTTGTCCAACCAATGATCCAAAACCTAAAAATATTCAGTTCATTGTGATAAATGCAAAGAGAAGCAGACCATTCTCCCACTGTAGCAGTTGGAACATAAGAAAGTGCAGATTGTTTTCCACTCTCTTTGCTCATTAATTGAGTGAAACAATTTTCCCCTGATTGATGAATCGGCTAATCGTCCCCACTCTATAAGACAATTGCCTGATCCAACTCTCCAGCACTAGGGATGGAAATCAACAACTGGTTCCAAAGTGTCCAACCCATCTGAATCGTATGCCTCTGACGTCATCAGCTCCTTTTATCGATGGCACTATGTTTTTTTGACAGAGGCGCATTGAAAAAAAAATCATGCATCATAAAGTCAGATGCTGCATCTACACTGGTGGAAACATGGCGGAAAGGAAGAAGCGGTCCAAGGCGTGGCTTCAATTCGTGAAGAAAGATGACAACAGTGCTACTTGCAATGTGTGTAAAATGATTATCTTTGCAGCACATAGGGGCTGCAAAGATACATCAGGAACTGTAAAACTACTGCGATACCTTGTTAAGCATCAACGGCCAGAGAGTGCTGCACAGTGTCACGACAAAAGCCTCCTCACTTACAGGGACAGTGTGAAAGCCCAGAGAAGGAACAAGAAACACCAAAAACAGACAAAACAGATAAGCAAACGCATACACACAAACACACACGGAGCTACAATTACATTCAAGGGAGCATGAATTAGGCCACTGCTCAGCAATATACTGCAGAGTGGTAGTTAGCTAAGTGAACAGAGACTTGAAGGCTCAAACCGCACCACACCATGTCAGCCCTGGTGATTATGGTCTGATCACTGCTCAGAATGAAAGAGCCCAAAAAGAAAGAAAAGATGAGCTGTACTTCTTCTAAGATATCGCAATATTAAATACAACTGTTAAAATATAATAATTCACAGATTATACAATACCCTGTTCTGTTAAGCAAGAGCAAAATGAGTTCAACACTGTTAATTTTTCTAACATAGTACATTTGGCAGGATTTGGAATGACTGGCAGGCCCAGACTGACTCGCCAGACATCTAGTGTCAACTTCACACAGCAGAAGCTGGCAAGGGCAGCGTTTAAGTAGAGCAGCAGCGAGACCCGAACTGAAAGGCACAACTTATCCAGTATTACATATTGTTGTCTTAAAAAACTCCTCCTGCAAAATAATATAATTCAGTTGACCAAATCTTAAAGGATAAGGTCGGTCATTTTCTATACCAACGGTATTTTCGACACTCCCCAGACAGAGACTAAAACCAACAATGACTGGCCTCTACTCACTTTTAGTCTGTCAGTCCTGGATTACCCTAATGTTGTTCCAAAGGCTCTAAACAGCCATAACTCTTTACAGCATCTGAATTAGCTAAATATTTTTAACAAATAAAAGGGTCTTGTGTTTTATAATGGAGAAACATGTCACCCAGTGCAGTGGTATGTTTCTCTTATGTGTTTTTATTTGTTTTTGAACAACAATGACGGTCTACGGTACAGACGAGTAAAATAATTCAGGACTGACAGACATTAACAGTGAGTAGAGGCAAATCATTATTGGTTTCAGTCAGAGTCCAAGAGTTAAATCCGGATCACATTTTGTCCACTGCCTCTAAAAAGAAAAACCTTTTCTCACTAGCGCTCAAACTGCCTAGTTAGGAGTGATAACAACAGCTGACTAGACACACATTTTCTAACAGTCCGATGTGTTGTTATGCAATGGAAAACACCAACTTTGCATTTATTATTAATGAACTCAATGAGAGGAAACTCAGTTGGCTTGAATTAAACAAATAAGCTACATTCGGGGGTACTTTTAGGCCTGCTTCACAGAAGGCCTGACTATTGAGGTGCTAAAACGGGCCTACGCTAACACAGTACCACGCCGTGGAGGTCGTTCAGCATGGCTGTACGCTACACATTAGGCCTTTGTGCTTCGAGAAACATCAGCCCCCTTTTTTCCCCCATGCCTGCAGCACAGCCGAGTGCTGCAATGTGCTGACGCCGTCATCAGCCATCCCCCCTACCTTTTACCACAGCTCTATTCCCACAGCCTGATAAAAAAAGAGGATGGAGAGGGGGGAAAGAGAGAAAGTCTAATTTTCAGTTCAGTCATCTTCATTTACAGTGTCGAGTGAAATGGCTGATTCAGCTTTTTTTTTTTTATTAATACTGTGAATGTGCTAAGGTGCTGCCTGTTTGGCCCTGCTGGACCTCATCCAACACTCTGCTGCTGATGAGCCAGGGGTGAATGCCTCATGATTCCCCCCTGAGTAGCATACAAACTGTGGAGTAACAGCAGCAGCAGCATACTGACACATCATTGATCCAAACTTGGGGAAATTCATTCATCGCTGAGCAACTCAAGCTGGCCAAGATATAAAAAAAAAAAGCCTGCACAGTTAAACTGGGAGGCATAAATTCTGCAGACAGCTGAATTGTTGGGAACCTGCTGGTCGTGGATCTTGACTAATTATCAGTACTCCGAACAAAGCAGTCTGTTCCAAATATCAAAACACTGTATCAGTAAGCACAACACATGAAAAATCACAAGGCAGAGCAAATACAGTAAGGGAGACCATTAACACAAGGTTAACACAGAAGACAACAAATATAGCAGCCAGCTGAGAGACAAAAATTTTGCAAAGCAAATTAAAATGAGGTGAGATGCCTTCAAGCACAAACAGACAGGAGATGCTCTCCACAAACAGTGGAGTCAGACAGAGCAGTGCTCCAGTAGGTGACCCGGCCACAGACACAGGTGGAGGTGTGCTCTACAGTGAGAAAACACCAACTCAGCATCTCTTCGCCATCACAAGACAAGAAGGCCAAAATGTCAGGAGATGCTGGCTCCGGCACCAGCTGCAGTGGAATAAGATCCTCTGACAAAAGGCTACTGTAACATTAGAAAAGAGTGAGCTGAGCAACGACAGATGACACCCTGCACTCCCCCTGGCAGATTATTAAGTCGGCTAAATCACAAAGCGTCATTTCAGGGCACACATCTGTTCAAAACCACAAGTGAAACGGGGCAAAACGGTAAGATCTCTGGCACGAGTCACTGTCAATCTGCATGGCAGTGATACCTGGGCATCATTTGTATATTTCCATCTAAATGACCGTGAGTCACATGACCCATATTCCACACTGGGCATATGGGGTTTTAATTACCGCCATCCACTGAAGTGCATGAGAGCACATCTACAGACCCCAGCCTGCAAACTGGTACGTACAGTCTGCAGCTGCCTTGCTGCAGACTGTGCACCATCTACACCGCATAGAAACTATGCGCGGGGTCCTTCTGGCTCTGCATGTCATTACATAAAATGGCACTAAAGCGGTCCAAGATGAGCCACGCAGGACCTTCACGTCCCTTACAGCCCATGCTGACATGCACTGTCCTCGTTAGTGCGATGGAGGATACCTGTGGCCTGTCAGTGGTCTGTGACGGTCCAGTGACTGGCGGTGGTCCGCGTCCGCGCCGGGGGCCAGCAGCTCCAGCAGCCCGGGCTAGAGGTTACCTGCAGCGGCGCAGGGTTGTGGCCAAGATGTGGCTTCGACTGTACATGACACACACACCAGAGCTGACGGATCGTAGACACTTTTGTCCGCTCCAAACAAACCATTAACACCCCCACCCCCAGGCAAAAGAATGCGTTTGTGTCTTTAAAAAAGAAAAGCTCGACAACAGCGAAAACTTTGTGGAAGATGGGCCTGAGCACCGTGGCCCCCGGTGTCTTGGCATGAAGAGGGCTGCGTGTGCGTGTGCGTGTAGATAGTGATGGGCAGACCCAGGCTAGTGTGTGGCCTGGTGTAGCCCCCTAGTCCTTTATGAGTCTCTCTCCCTATTCTCTCCATCCCCCTCTCGACGCCATCTGTTTGTGGCAGGAGAGAATGTGGAAGTAAAAGAGAAAAGACATTCTGACTGTAGTTGCTGACCTACATCGACCATTTGTTTTCGTTACGGCGTAAAACCCCGCACCGAAAAGCGCCCGTCCAAAACACGGAGGCAGCGACGTCGCCAAACACAAGGCGCATACATTTTCTAGCCTAGTCAGGAGGAATTTAATAAGTTACGGCTGAAACACTCCTCCTCCTCCGCCTCGCCGGGCCGGACAAGTCAACGCTTCGGCGGCTCGCGTATTCCCTCTGTTACGGCCAAAGGAACAGAGACGTAAAATAAAAAAACTCACCTGATTCCAAAATCGGTTTATGGTGGCGACGTGATTGTGGTTGAGCTTAATATGGGAAAAACAGTTGCAACGGTGGGTTCCCGTTGTGTGTGGCAGGAAGGAGGGAAGGGAAGAGGGGCTGACGTGAATGAATAAACAACTGAGCTCCTCCTCAGCGCCACAAGTAAAGGCGCAATGTGGCCGACTTAGGGCAATTCATAGCAGCTGTTCAGCGTCCTCTTTATGTGGGACTCATCAGATAAGAACGAGGATGGCTTTAACTAACTTCACCACCGACTATACCGAAGCCACAAGATGGTGGTTTGCTTTAAAAATGTGGTTTTTGACATGCATAATTCTACACTTGTATCATTTATCATTTTAATGTTGAGCAGCCACAGTCTGTGAGTAATTTTTACTGTAAAACCCATCATGTGTATGTTATTGATTGAGCAAACACTGGGTGGCGCTGTGTACACCCTAAGCATTTGGCATGATGGGCACATACAGTAAGACAATACAGGTCCACTTTGCTTTGAATAATAATAATAATACTTAGCCTGACATTATAAAACGAGAGGTCAAATAAATGTTTTGCAAACTCCTCTGGCACACACACACACACACACACACACACACACAAAATCCAGGATTTATGAATGTTTTTCATTTCAAAGGTTTAGTTGGTGTTTTCAACTGAAAGGTCTGCACTCAGTGAATCCATGTGTTTCCACATCACTACTGTGTGAGCTGCATACTGGACCATGTCCAGCTGCAGAGCTAGATGTGATGTGAAGTGACAAAACTCTGCTCATATTGTAAATCCACTTGAACTCAGCCTGAAGGTGAACACAGAGAAATGTCGTCCCTTCTAGTGTCCAGCTCTGCACATACATCATTATGGACAGTGAAGGCCAAACAATAGAAGTAACAATAAGCATCTTCAAAAACACAAAGGGCACAGTGGGGTTGCTGGGAACCAACTGTTTCTCCCTGTAGAGTCAGATGTCATTCTCTGTAATGTATGAACAGTACTTCATACAATGTATAGTAAATAATACAAGCACACGCTCAAGCACAGACAAAAACATTGTGACAGCAACTAGCATGCTTTATTTAGACCTATTTCTGAGAAAATACAGTTCAGTATGTACTTTTGACTATTTATTACAAAAAGATTGCACACTGAAAACAATATCGCCACACAAATGTTACTGTTTTTATTTGTTTATGTCATTTCAAGAGTAATCTGAATAAATAAGGAAAGTGCATCAGGTGGAATAAAGGAAGATTTCAGAGAAAATGTCTTGTGCCCCCTCAGTGAGCTCTAAGTAATTTAATTTACTCCATCTAAAGTTGTGTCCTTTGAGCTCATGCTGATGTTTAGACTGACTGGTATAGATTCAGGAACAACAAATCACAAGTAAGCATTATGATACTGTGCTGCAGTATTAGTGCCTTTGGAGATGTGTCCAACTCTGACACTAGAGGGCACAAACACTCCACTGAACTTGTGCGACTGAACCATGTCTGTCAGTGTCCAAGTGTGATTTATGATTTTTCAGAAAGGTCAAGGTGGTTGAGCTCTGGATCCATGAGTACATGCGACTGCTTATTATCCATTATGATTGGCTCTTTTAACAAAAGAATGTGGCTGTATTAATAAACTGGCCAATCTGTGCAGACTGGTGTAGCCTGGTGCTATTGTCAAACTGTAATACAAGAATGAAATCTTTAGTGTTGGTGCCAGACAGCATAAAGTACCTAATAGGTTTGACCACATTTGCAAAATCTCATCATTAATAGCCTCATAAGTGTTTGCGACCACTTTCCAACACTCACTGACAGATTTAATAATGAATAATTGCCACGTAGAGCTTCACTCCTGTTTAATTGTTTCTATAGTAATGAAAACAGATTCACTATGTAAACTAGTTGGCTTTTCCAGCCTAAACACTGTATTTGCTGATACACTGAGACTGTAGTATATTTTAAGAAAGACTGCTTAATCATTTCAAATGTTATATTTCAGAATAAACAACACTAAAAAAAATGTTATTTGTTGATGTTTGTCCAACTGTGTGTTCTCTGTTTTCACTTCAGGCCAAAATGTCACATCTCAAGGGGACAGTTGAGCTTGTTCTGGAGGAAAGCACAAACAATTTTAGGACTAAAAACACAGAAGGATTCTTGTAAATAGCCAGTGGGGGAAGAAGTGCACAGATCCTTTACTCAACTAAAAGTATCAGTACAACAATGTAAAAACACACAAGTATCCTAAGTAAAACTATTCATTCTGCAGAGAATATGTGTAATAAAATGATGTTGTGCCACTGTCCAAGCAGCATTTTACTGGTGTAACTGTTCAAGTTGTAAGTACTTTTAGAACATGCCCTTGAGTTAACACATAATCCATACAGCCGTTGCAAATGATGACAGTAATGGCAAGTGGAATCACCCACTATACAAAAGGAAGGAGACAGTCAATAAAGAATATGTGTATGATGGTCTGAGTTTACTGCCGCTACACTTGAGGCCCACTGGCCCATAAAATATTGCAATTCTTGACACAGACTTTTGTTTTTGTATTCTGATACTAGACAATCCAGACAGGGGTGACATGGTGTCGTGGTGGTTAGCGTTGTCGCCTCACAGCAGGAAGGTTCTGGGTTTGAGCCCAGGCCGACTCTGGGCCTTTCTGTGTGGAGTTTGCATGTTCTCCCTGTGTCTACACGGGTCCTCTCTGGGTGCTCCGGCTTCCTCCCACAGTCAAAAGACACGCATCTTACACAGTAAAAAGTCCAGTGTTGATTTGACTCTCACAGAGTTGATTTTAACTCTATTTCAGAGTTTATATAGCTCCACACTTTCCAGAGTTAAATTAACAGTTTTGAAATAGTTAAATATTTAACACTTTTTCAGAGTTACCTTTTTTAACTCATTAAAGTGTTAAGGAAACACCAAGAAGGATTCAAATTAAATACGGCAGAGTTACATTTAGGAGTGGTAGTGTCACTCTGTTCAGTGTTAACCTATGTACTTTAAAATGTGTTAAATAAAATCCACACACAAATTAATTTCCATAACAACAACATTTATTTGTTTTCTTTCCCAATTCCAAGTCAATTGTCTAATTCAATTAAATTACAAAGCAAGGTACAATAGACAAACCTTCATCTGCAACACTATAAGAACTCTGAATGTCAAACGGCCTATAAAATTTAAGCTTAGACATTTTAACA